GCATTTATGTTTTAAAAATATAACAATGTATTAATTAAGTTCTGAGATGAAGCAAAATTTGTGGGATTATTAAACTATATAAAATCTATTGTGTCAATATTGTTAATTTAAATAAAATAATCTCTGTTATATAATATTGTATTTTCTTATAATTTTTCTATATATAATAATGTATTTTTAAATTTCTAAAAACTGCTCTTTTCATTATATTGTGATGAATATGATTGGATAGATTGAATTAGTTCAATAGCATTATCGATAAAATATTAATAAAGTTCATTATTCTTATAAGGTTTTTGTTGCAAAGTTCGTATTAGTGCTTTCATATCATTTTTACCTTAGTAAAAAGTAAAATTATAACTGAAAATATAAGTAGACTAAACGCACATTCATAATATAATAAATAGTGGTAAATAGAAAACAGCAGATGATATTAATATGCAAATTATATATTTCACTTACCAGCCGACAAGGCTGGTAATATTTAAAGTAATTCCATTTTAAATATGTATTTAAAATGGAAATGGCATTTTCCATTTTAAATGTTTTTGGAAAATCGTTTTCATTTTACATTTGAAATGGAATCATGTCTATCATTTAACTATTTATAAAATAAGTAAATGCCAAATGGTTTTTCTATGTTTTCACAAATTTTCCCTAGAATCATTGATGTATAAGAAGAACCAAGTCCCATGATTGGCCAAAGATTTTTATAAATATTCAAACAAACTGCAAATTAAACTATAAAAAAAATTAATTCCAGATAGTCTATAAATATCGAATATTAATAAAAAATGAATGTTCCAGCTTTATGTAAATACTGAGTTTAGGGATATAAAGGGAGAAGTAGAGGGGTCAGAAATTGAAAATAAATTTGTTATCATTTTCAATTTCAATAATTTTTTACGTGAGGTATAGAGTGAGAATTAGTGTAGGTACTAATAGAGGGGATAAAAAAGAAGTATAAAAAAGAAATAATAGTTAATAACATAGTAATTATAAAAATTAGTATAATAGTTTATATTTAATGGTATTATTTGAGGTATAAAAGAATATTATTTAAAAATAATATTTTAAAAATAACAATTTAATGTTTTATTTATAACTTAATTATTTCATTAAAAATAGGTGGAATACTATTATAATTTGATTTAAAAGATCCATACTTTAAGTTTTAACATATTAACATCTTTATAATATATGATGCTTGATGGTAGCATCAAATTATTAAATTGCTTGTCAATTTAATTCGCGATTACTAGAGTAGTTTTAATTGCATTTATTTAGTCCGGAAAAATAATTCGGCGCGCAGTTTGAAAAAGATTACAATATGGTATATATGCAAGTATATATATATAATATATATTAGTAATTCAAGATTGAATTATTTAAGCAACGAAGATCCATCTTCGACCGTAATAGGCATTTTAAATTTCTAGTATTGATTGTATTTCTCACATATACGGTTTAAAATAAAGATATTGTCAATTCTTTAAATTCAGTCATTTAATTTAATGAATTAAAAAAATAAAATAATTTTGTTAAAAATACAAATATATAGTAGGTGTGTGGTGTGTGTGTGTAAGTAAATACTTTATTATTTTTTGATTTAAGTAAAAATTATTAAAATATTAATAAGGGTGTGTGTGTGTGTGGAGATTTAAATTTAAGAAGAAAAATGAATAAGTCAGTTTTTAAAATTAGTAAGATTTGTTGACTCCATAGAGAATCTATGATTTATACCACAAATTTCTTAACATTGAGCAAAGAATACTCCAGGCCGATTAATTAATAATAGGGTTTGATTTAATTGGCCTGAAGTAGAATCTATTTTAATACTTAATGATGGAATTATTCAAGCATGGATAACATCTAGAGGTAGTTAAGATTCGAATAGGGTAGTTAAATGGTAAGATACATCGGTTATCAAGTAATCGGAATTCATTTAGTGTAAGTTGATTGGTTATAATTATGAAGAAGTCAAATCCAATATTTAGAAAATCTGTTCATAACTTTAGTATCATTGGTGTCCAACGACTTTAATTGATAAATTATTATTAAAAATTTCATCAGTAAGGTATTCAATTTTGATAGATAGAATAGCAATAAAAATCAGAATAAATATTGGGATAATAGTTCAGATAATTTCAATTATTTGATGTTCTAATAAAAATCAATTGATTAGTTTATTAGAAAGAGATATAAGTATGATACAAAAATTGAAGTAGAAATAAAAGTTAAAATAATTATTGTAGAATCATGAAATAAAATTATTATATCATAAGAGTAGGGGAGTTTGAATTTTGTAGGGATCAAGTATTAATTTTTAATAAAAGATGTATATAAAAGAATCTTTACAATTGGAGTTTAAATTCAATGCATTTATTTTCTGCTATATTAAAATAAAATTAATAATAATTTTAAATTAAATAGCTGGAATTAATTGCGCTTAACTGTGCTTAACTGCGACTTTTTGATACCTGGTTATAAAAAATTTATAGTAAAAAGTTGCGCGCGCGTACACACATGCACATACCCACAAACACATATATATATAAATATTTAAATTATATTTATATTTATAGAAATATTAAAAAATTGTAAAACTCGACAAAATAGTATATCTACTTGTATAATTTTTCCTAAATATATTGTGGCATTTTAAAGAGAGTATCAATTTTGTGCATTGCTTCATCTTTGGGATAAGTATTTGTTTCTATTCTTTGCTTGAATAGTTGATTATCTCCATTATCTCGAGCTGGATAAATTTAAAAAGTAACAAGATTAAAATAATTAATAATAAAACAGTATATATAAATAATAATAGCAAAAGGATCAAATAATTTATCAATTGTAAACGATATGTACTTCTTTTTGTGCGGATGCAGCCGGATTTGACTGAAGTTTTTCTTTTCTTAGATGATGTTTTAGCCTCCATATCTGAAAAAGATTGTTTAGCGTATCTCTTTTGAGTGTATCTAAACAGATTGAATATTAATATTACCGAAATCCACTTCATTATCACTGGAAATATATTCGCTTCCTGAACTATTGTCAACAATCTTATTTGCTTCATTGGAGTCTGTCTTGTCTATACTTTGCACAGTGTTATCTTTGCCATTCTCATGTTTAGATTTTTGACATTTTTTATTCGTTCTTGTATCAGTATCAAGTAATTTTGTTTTTTTGATTGGTATTGTATCTTTGTCAGGTGTTCTTAGATACAATCTTTAATTAGAAAATTAATCTTTTGTTTTTATTGGTACTCCTAAAATAATGGTAAAATAATTATTAAATTTAATTGTGAAAATTTGAATTATTCGAACACTAGGTTTGTCAATTGTTACATTCAAAATTTAACTTAAGTTGCAAGTAAAAAAAAATGAACATTTTATATCATACCCTTCTTTATGCTCTAAAGCTGACTGTTCAAATACTGCTTCAAATGGAGTAATTTCTTCAATCTCGACCTGCTTTTGCAACTCTGCCTTATAATTTTCTTTGCTATTAACTTCGATATTCCCTTCGGCATTTGTTTCATCATCATCTTGTATTCTATGCTGATTGTTTGATTTTGTAGTACGTTTGATATGTTCTGATATTTCTTGCAAAATGCTGTCTTCCGTTTTAATCGACACTATCTGTAGACATCAGCAGCTGTTATTTTATAGAAAAAAAGGGGAAAGGATGTGAATAAAACATTCATTGTTTTAATGTGCCACATAAAGTGGCATAAAGTGTTAATTCAACAGTGTTTACTAGCACTCTGACCTAAATGATTGCTTGATATTATTGAATTACTGCACCTCTTTCAAATCACTTGGAAACTCATCGCTAAACATATTTCCTATCGTGTCGTCGGCCAGACTAGACACATCACTGTCGTTATTACTTGCCTCTGCCATGCTGACTCTGCCACACTAACATATCATTTCGCGACGAAGATGTCTGTTATTAAAACGAATCCGTAATCGATCTTCCAAACATACTCGTTACAGGATCGTGCATACAGTACACACATAAATCGTATAAATCAATCAATCATTCGTAAAGTCGTCATTCAAATCTAAGCCCGGCTCAAGACAAAAACTCTGTCCTTGTAATCTGCGAATTCCGCGATTGTTTTTTTCGCGCAGGAATTGCTGCCTATTTTACCGATCGAATGTCGCTTTATAAATTCAAATTCGCGTATCATATCTATAGGGGTGCGTTCCGAGTTACGCATGAAGCGCATGAGATATCGTTTTATTCTTCTTTATTATTTGGTGAATAACAAGGACAAATGATGCATCATGCGCTTCATGCGTAACTCGGAACTCACCCTATGTAGACGATAACGCATTATAATCTGATAAACGAACAATAAATTACGCAACATGTTGAAATAAGTCTACGAATACATCGACATGCTAAGTATATGTTGCGTCCATATCAATTGCATGCTTCATTTGCAAATTTGTGAGATTAAAAGAAAAACTCAATTTACTTTTTTAATAAGAAATAATATATTGAATTGTATTGATATCTCAAATATATAACAATCTTCATCAGAATTCACAATAAAGTAATTCACATATTTTTCGTATAATTAACGAGATTGTCATTTCTCTTAAATTAAAACAAAGCTTTACGTTTTTTCGCTCATATAAACATGTTACAAATATGTATCATCGGATTTCTCATTAAACATATAAGATCTGTTCTTTTAGGCTGAACTTTTGCACCAGTTCATCTTTCTTCTTCTTCTTTCTTCCTAAACAGAAAAGGAAGAAAGATGAATTGGTGCAAAAGTTCAGCTAAAAAGAACAGGTCTATATAATTCATATTTTTCTCATATATTCTATATATGAGATTATTATTTTTTTTTAATCAAATCAAAAATTCGCATCCTTTAATTTGTTTATTAAAGTGATAAATTAAATAAAACAATAACGACGAACTCGAAATAATACAATTATGAAAGAAAAATAAAAGAAAAAAATGATCTATACTATAAAACTACAGTTTAAGATAACATATTTGAAGAAGCAAGAGATTTCGTAGTTAATTTACGGTTTATGGGTATGCGAAAACCATCTGTTCTAAAGAATTTCCTCTCGGGCGATCGAATAGGTGGTGTTATGCCCGCAGAATTCATAAAATGCATTGATGATGCCAAAGAACATCTGCAAATAGAGGATATAATAAAAATAGAGGATATCATTTAGACATTTTACTTTCAAATTATCAAAATTGAATGGCATAATATAATTAATTGTATGAATCTCACAAGATCTGTTTTTGTTTCTTTGATCTCGTTCAAAAATATAAAATCATTCTTTTTGTATTGTTCAAAATTTCATACTTTACCCTGTGCGCAACTGATTCGAGGAAATACCGGAGTCAGTCGTCATCGGCGTTTCTATTCTGCGGGATCGCGAAGTTTCCTCATTGGCCATTTCAACGAACAGCAGTTTCTTTTTGAGCTTCTCATTAGTTTTCTTCGTAATCATGTATTTTTCCGCCAACGCTTTCAAATCGCGATGGGTTTGCCAATACTTGCTTTTCAGTAAATCGTATTTTTTATCCTTTGATGAACGCATCGTCGATAGCAACAATTAAAACAAAATAATATAAGTAAGAGATGAAATATAATAACGAAATTAAATCACAAAAAATTAAGACTAGAAAAAATTAAAAGTAAGAAAATAGGAAAGGTAGGTTCTGATTTTATATACAAGATCGAAAGCGCTGCATTTGTTATTTTTAAACTGATGATTGCCGCAAGAAGTGACCGTCGGAATTTAAAGAAAAATAGAAAGAAAGAAATAACAGAAACATAAGGATAGTAAAATACGAAATGTAAAAATAACACAGCACAGATCATTCCAGCAATATTTCAACGTTTCGGTAATATTGCAATAACGTTGCAAACATTGTAGCAATGTTATTGCAAGCTTCTGTGCTGTATGGAAATAATAAGAAATTAAAACTAGAAGAGGCTAAGTGATAAGAATAGGAGACTCTGATTATATGTACAATTTCCTGGAAGCGCTGCATCGATATTGTTAACTGATTATTGCGGAACGAGTACACCTTCAACAACATTTCCATAGTCTCGACAACAGAAGTGTGGAAGAATGGCGTCAACTTCGGTATTAACGGTTCTTCTAATGCTAACGAAATAGTGCCGACACGTTGACATTGCGGACACTGCTTCTCGACTGTAAAGTCGTGAATCGAAGGTGTATAGAAAAAAAATCGTGGAAAATTAGACATAATAATGTGAAATATTTCTTAAAACTTACATTGCTGCAGACAAGTCTGGCAAGAGATGTGACCGCACTGTGTAATGTAGTACGGATGTTTGCCTCTACAAAGCGGAGTGAAGCATTTGTTGCAGATTAACATGTCCATTTCCATCACTTTAGATGCTAAAAAAGTAACCGCGTAATTTTTAAAATTGCTCAAGTAAAACAAAAAGTAATCGTGAATATACTGATATATCTACGGCTGCGATGCGCGCGCGCGTTGCGATCGCGATACAGTGAGTGAGACCGAACGGAATTGACTAGACGATTTCCGGAAGAATCAGGATGGTCTCTCGCACATCCTAGTGACGTTGTGGTTACGTTGCTGAAATTCCTAAGTCAGGCTTTCCTATTGGATGTCAATTCGGACTATTCGGGGCGAACCGACATGGAAGTAGGTGAAGTTGACTTCTTGTCCACCGGCTTTACATATTTTTATCTCGATTGTTTCGATTTTCTTTCTACTTATGAGTGTGACCCACTTCACGCTGCAAATGCTTTGAAGCATTCTTTGATTGGTCAATTCGTAAAATTCTTTCTTCTGATTGGTCAACGAAGTGTTTGCAGCGTTAAGTGGATCACACCCTGGCCGCGGTCCGATACACGCTCACAACGCTTAAAAATCATTTCATCCTTGTTGTTTGTCAAATGTTAAACGAAGACAAACAATGCTCATGAGCGTTGTCAGCATGATTCGGACCACGGCCCCTATGTGTCTCTATTGTGCTCTATTGCACATGCGCGAGAAAAATAACACTATCGCAAACCGTTGCAAATTTATCGTTATTCACTTATGTTCACTTGTACGGTGAAGAACATCGTGAAAGTGAGCGGCTTTGATTTCGAGCATCGCTAGCAATTTTAAATAGTATCATTACTTATTCCTACGAAAAAATAGTATCCGATTAATCAAATATATACGCGACAAAAGTAAGTTTCACTTTTATCTAACATATTATCTAGTAGATATATTTCACTTTTTACGCCTCACGCGCGTAACGAATTATATTTGTCGAAAATGATCAAAGATTAATAAGTCACGTTTCATTGCGATTACTTGAGAGAAAGAGAAAAATTAATTCTCAACTAAAATTGGAATAAAAGTTGGAAGAAATGGATGGAATTGTAAACTGATAGCGCGCTTTGAAATGATGACGCTTTAAAAAAAGTGGAGTCGATTAGTCTTCAGAGCTCTGTCTCACGAGAGACTCGTATCCATAGTGGGGATTCTCGCGGTTGCCGAGAGTTTCTAAGGGAAAGGACGGAATTTACCGACAATCTGTTCCCCTTGACCGTACTTACTTGTGCTTTCTCGTTGTTTGAAATAGGGTAACTCCGGTATATACGCCGCACCTATCAAAAACTTAATTTATTAAGTATTATTTACTATGTTTAAAATAAACGAATTATATCAGTAAAAACTTTGTACTGTCTACTATTATGAAAAAAATATTAGAAATCCGAAATATTTAGTTTTCGTACTAAAAAATAAACTTTTTGAAATCTTGCATTTTTGCTATGTATAGATAATGGGTGGGATATATGGCAAAAATGCAAGGGTTTCAACAAACTAAACAAAGAATACGAAAGCAAAGCACTTGTATTTTGCTATACAACATGCTTTACTATTCCTCTACACGTATGTATCACGAAATAACTAGGTCTTTTACACGCCTTACAGTAATTATTTTATGTAGATTATAATTTATGATGATGCTACTTGTTACACACACAGTGACAAATCGATTCAACTCACAATAATTTCATTAATATTAACAGTAAGAAGCTGAAATTATAACTCAATACTAATATAACATAAAGGCGTGTAACAGAGTAGTTACAAGAAAATTATCCCTACCCCTTCTATTTTTTCTGACTTTCGCGGCGTAAATCCCAGCGTGGCGTATATACCGGAGTTATCTTAAGTGTCCTCTCGGAGATACGGACGGACAGGCGGAGAAAAAGAGGAAGATCGTAAGAGATCGCAACTGAGAATTCAGCTTCGGCTGATCATCACTTTTTTCCCTCACAAAAAATTTAGAACCACGATAGCTACATAATTAACAATTGCAACGAACAAACGTTGGTTTGAGCACTCAATAATAATAACAAATAGTAGATTAACAATTAAGTATATAAAGGAAGTTTAAAGTAGTGGACGAGAGAAAAATTAGATTTTATTTATTTATTTATTTTTTCGGATTTTACTATGAATTTTGTTTTGAATTAATTGGTTTAATATTATTTTGAAAAGAATAATTTGATGTTATCATTGTGGACAGGTAAATAATAAGTTGCGCCACAGTCCTTAAACCATGCAAAGCAAAACAGTCATGGAATCATCAAATAGTAGAAAGAACATATATCTTACAAAAACCGGTGACAATTCTTTGAACTCTGGAATGAGAGAGACTATGATTGTCGGCCAGGTTAATATGGTACGCAGAGTGTGCAGAAGGTGTGATGAAACCCAACAACGTGTCTAATGTTTCCACTAATCGGACAAAGTGAACTAATGGCGGCTCTAAAAATTATATCACAATATCGGTGAGAAGAACGAGGTGAGACAATTAATACAAAGCCTTATTATTATACATTATTATGCATTATTATGTATTATTATGCATTATTATGCATTATTATGCATTTGTATTATTATGTATACGAGGTGAGACAATTAATACAATGCCTTAAAAATACTTGAGTTACTTGAATTTATTTGACGGAACTGTTGCACATTTGCATTATTATGTATATGTTATACAAATAATGGATTTTTTATTAAGCGCGGTGGACGAGCATGACATAATCACGATGATTCAAATATTGGATACGTAACAAATGCCATATCTAATGAAAAATACGCCAGGGGTCTTCTTAAGCTTCGATTTTTTCATAGAAGCGTTAAGCCGTAATCACACTATAGGCTCCCGACTTTGACTCCCGACTCAAAGTCGATTGAATAGAGTGATTTCTATTCTCGAGTCGACAGTCAGAGTCGGCTGCTGCCTTGCTGTGATTGGTAGAATGATAGTCTCGACCACCGACTTGGACTCCCGACTATCATTCTACCAATCACAGCAAGGCAGCAGCCGACTCTGACTGCCGACTCAAGAATAGAAATCACTATATTCGATCGACTTTGAGTCGGGAGTCGGGAGTCAGAGTCGGGAGCCTGTAGTGTGTGATTACGGCTTAAGGGAGTCCGCCATTGACGACTTTAATTTACTTTACGCATTATGAAAGATCAGGGCTTTGGCTTTAAGAATCATTTTCGCGTGGCTATGCCTTAGAATCTGTACGTACTCATTGTAATTGCAGCGATTATGAATTACGGGACAACGTCGATCATGACATGATCGATGAAGCGGCGCTGATCGTGGAACTAATTAATATGTTTCGATGATCACCCGTCACTTTAATTGCTACTTTCGACGAAAATTCGCGCTCATGTACACTTTTAACAGACGAAACTCGCGATCGATTTCGAACCGCGATCGCGTTCAATGTTCGTATATAACGACATATTGCAAGTGATCAGGGCGCTCGGCATCGAGGCTTTTCGATATTGAGAATATTTAAAGGACGAGTAAATAGAATATGTTAATTATAATTAGAATTCACAATAAGAATCAGATGCTTTCCACATAAAACTTCTTAGCAAGCTACGATCATCTCATTAAGAGTATTTCTTATTAAGATTTACACAAGTATAGAATAATTTACTTGTAAAAGACATCAAAGTGTTTAAATTTCACACTAGCGCGAATAGAAACTTTCAGCGCCAAACAGCGTTCGATCAAGTGATTGGATCTTATCAGTGCATATTCAGTCTCCCCATAAAAAAATGTTTTTTTAGCTAAACGGCATGAGCGCAAAAATTTTTCCTTACGGATATAGGTAGCGCATAATTATCGCATTAATCCTCTGTATTTAATTTTCCAAATAGGTTGTTTTTAACGGGTGGGTGGGCTGACTGACTGCATACTTAGTCCCCCCACAAAAAATTTTATATTTACCTAAACGGAATGAGCGCAATAATGTTTGTTTGCGGATATGAGTAGCGCATAAATAGCTCATTGTTCCGTAATTTTTTTTATTAAATTTTGATTAAAAGTGTCGAGGGCCAGCTAAACTGACGTCTCTTATCGTTTGCCTAGCTGGCCTCTCCACGTAACCAAATCTTAATGAAAAAATTGTGGAATAATGCTCTATTTTTGCGCTATCTATATGCGTAAAAGAAAAATTTTCGCCCAAAAAAATTTTCCGTTTGATTACGAAAAAAAATTTTTTGTGTGGGCTGAGTAGGCAATTAACTCCCCCCCCCTGGTTAAAAACAACCGATTTGGAAAATTAAATACACAGGATTTATGCTCTATTTATGTGCTACTATTTCGATGCGTTTTTTATTTTTGCGCTGCAACACTTAAAGCACTTCCCTCTTGGAACGAACGGTCGTATTTAAATCTAAGTCGTTTAAAATTTCCAACAAATCCTTGAAATATTCCTCCCACTCCCTCGTCCCTATCTCCTTATTTATCCCCTTTCATCTCTTCCTTTCCCTGTTTACTATTTCCAACATCGCTTTTCACTCTTCGCTCCTTCCACTTTCCTTTCCCATCTTTCATTCTCCTTTTTTTCTTTGCCTCACATAGCTCTTTATATTCCCTTTTTTCTTTCCTGTATTCCTGTCCCCCCCC